ACCTGAGCCGAAGGCAGTCGCTTAACCAACTGAGCCACCCAGGTGCCCCTTTTTTTTTTTTTAAGTAAGCTCCATGCCAGGCATGGAGGAAACTCATGACCCTGAGATCAAGATCTGAGCTGAGATCAAGAGTAGGACGCTTAACCAACTGAGCCACCCAGGCGCCCCGAGGGGTCACACTTCTAAGATGGTTCCACAAGCAGAGAAACAGGCTTTCTTTGTATCGAGTGCTAACTAGCACCACCTGTGTGCCATCTAGGGCTTTGCCGGAACAAACTGACAGACCCGGCTCCTTCCCGAGCATCCTGGAGTCAGACTGAACGTCACAAATGACAAGAAATCTGTATGCGGGTATAGTTCAAAAATATTCTTCCGCGCCATCCACTGGAGCAGGGAAGGCTACGAAAATTCACCTGCCATGTCTAACCAGCAAGTTTGCTGGGCTCCCCCTCTGCAGAGCCCAGGAGGTCCTGTGGACTCTAACCACCAACTCCGTGGTTGTAATGATCATCTGTTTTTCCTTCCTTTAACTCAGACCTTCTTGGAATACACTAACGCTGGCGCTGAATTTGTCTTCGGTGAGACATACGCAGACCACTTCTTTGCATTTAAGGTAAACCAAATCCCCTTTCAAAGTAGTTACTTCCTTTTCAGTACCTTCTGCGTCTTTGTAGATATTCTGATAGAAACTGACCAAAAACCAGATATACACCTGCCGGGCATGTCCTAGGTGAATAGCACATCACTGCCTTTTTGCATTTATCAGATTTTCTCTGAAGTCAGTAGAATGCAAACATTTTACTTTGTTGCCATAGCATGGAGGGAAACATCTAGAAGAAGTCAGAAATATACAAATACTTTTGAGGGGGGCTCCTAGCATTGCCTGAGATACTTCTGGAAAATCATATGGGACAATAGTATCTGAGGCATCAGGGAAAGGAACATTTGGCAGTTGGCAATGAGGAGGCATATCAGGCCCAGGATCAGTGACAGCTCTGTGCTCAGGAACCCCCTCCATCTCCCAGAAGGAGACAGCTGTTCACCCACATGAGCCTCTCTTCTTCCAGAGCCATCTCCATGCTACACCTTTCCTGTCTTTCCTTCAGCACAGCGGGCCTGGAGGCTGGGCCTTCTCCCAACCAAAGGAGGGACATTATGCTCCAGGGGAAAGGCAAGCTGGCCTCCCTGCACTCCCACAAGCCCCAGGAAGCTCGCTTTCCCCTGTAAAGACCCTACAAATACTTGTTGATGAGGCAGAAAGATGAATTCGGCTTTTCCTTCAGCATTCTCTTTTTGTGGTGTTATTGTTCGTACACTTCTAACTTGTTTTCTCACTTAGGGACTCTGAATTTACCTCCAAACCACCCCGGCTTCAGTTAGGTCAACGTTTATGCTGAATCTTTTTTTTAATTGCTCTTTTTTTTAAAACTGCTGATTTGATGCTTTGGTGCCGAGATGACTAAGCCAGCTCCAAAAGGCCAAGTGTTTACAAACTGAGATAGAAATATGCTCATATCATGAATTGAACCCCGAACTGGGAAAAAGAAAGTCACAAGGAAGGCATAACTTGCTGCCCAGACTGCACCAGTGTCTTTAGACATTTCCTACCCACCCTCCTCCCTCTTCCCCAGAGCAGGGGCCTCCATCCTTTCTGCCAAAGCAGAATCCCTGTGGGAACATTCAAGAGATAAGCTCCTTTAATTCCCCGAAGCTTTCAGGAAAGCTCTGCTTGCCCATTAAAGCCAATAAAAGCACATAAGTGACTGAGCTCTGAATAATGGCACCAAATGTCTTTTAATATATATTATTAATAGATTTTTCTAAATTAGATCCTGTACAAATTGTCCTCGGTCATTCTATGCCTCTGGTGGCAGCCTGTCCCTGGTCATTTAGCTGGGGAACAGAGGGGAAGGGTACAAATGGGTAGGGGTGTGGAGGGACCCAGCCCACAGCAAAGTGTGTTCCCTGCAGGGTAGAAACTGTTCACTGTGGAAACACAGGCTGCCTCAAAGGCACCCAAATAGCATCAGGGAAACAGGATCCAGAAAAAGACAACTCTGGTATCACAGAAGCAAACTAGTTTCCCAAGTTTATTTATTTTTTTTTTAGTGATTAAAAACAATCTAAAAGTAAAATAATTATATTTTAAAAGCTAAACGAACGGGTGCTTACTTTATGAGAGGCAGTGTGGGTAAGCACCTACCGCGCTATATCTGATCTGTGTAGCCCCTATAAATAAGCATCTGAGAGGCTACTCACACTCAGTTTTGACCAGGATCCTCTGCTAATGAGGCTGTTTAATATCAGAACTTCAAGAATATCTGTCAGTGGCCTTCAGTTTGTTGATCTAGTTATTACGAATTCCCCTGACACTGCATTCCTTCTCTGAGAAGCTGCAGTAAGAAAAGCTCATCATTGCAGAGAAACAAAAAATGTCAATTTCCTATGAAATATACTCAAGCTTATCCACAGCAAGTTCAAAGAAGAGACGGTAAATGGGGGGGGGGGGCACTGCCTGATTAAAGTGTCATTTAGTTCAAAATGACATTGCTGATGATTTTGATGATGGTTTCAGCGGGGATAAGGAGACAGAAAAAAGACCTGATCTGAACTCTACTAATCCTACTGAGGCCAACATCAGCCCATGATTGCTTTCATGCCCCCACCTCGCCCCTAGGTCCTGCCAATCGTGATTTTCTTCAGCACCGTAATGTCCATGCTCTACTACCTTGGATTGATGCAGTGGATCATTAGAAAGGTACTGGGACTTGGGGTGCCTGGGTGGCTCAGTTAAGCATCTGCCTTCGGCTCAGGTCATGGTCTCGGAGTCCTGGGATCGAGCCCCGATCAGGCTCCCTGCTCAGCTAGGAGTCTGCTTCTCCTTCTCCCTTTCCTTCTGCCCCTCCCTCTTGCTTGTGCTTTCTCTCTCTCTAATAAATAAATAAAATATTAAAAAAAAAAAAAAAAGAAAGGTACTGGGACTTGAAGGGATTGGGTGACAGGTGTACAGCAATTATTTCAGGGACAAAGTCTTAAATGCCTTTTATCCAGGTTTTCCCAAAGTGCCTTTCTGTTTGTAGCAAGATTCACCACCACCTCATCTTCCACCCCAAGTTATCAAACCCCAACCAAAAAAACCTACATGGAGCCCTAGAGGCAATTTTACCTCAGGGACTTCTAATGGGGCTTTGATTCGCAGTCAGTGGTTACTGGCTATCTTCATAAAACCTTAGTAATTACTTCTTTAACCAAAGAATTGACTCCAGCAAAGCAGACACCTATGGGGAGCACAGCATCCTTCCTTCATCCTGGCTGTCTTCCCTGTGCCTTACAGAGTCCCTGCTTCTCCTCGGGACATTGGAAAAGTGGAGACTCTTGGTCTAGGAGTTGCTAGAGGATCAAAGCAAGAAGGGGAAGCTGCTTTGCGTTTCTGAGGGAGTTTGATAAGCACACACAAACTTAGGGGATAAAAGGTGCAAAAGGTTCATCTCATTCCTGCCACCCCAGCAACTGTCAGTTCTACTACACTCGTGTTAAATCGGAACATGAGGAAATGTGTGAGTTAGTTCAAATGCACACAAGCCGAGCAGTGCAGACAGAGTTTGGGCATAGCCATAGCCCTCCTTTGATCCTTGTAAATACATACAAGAGACGGAGGGAGGGAGAGAAAGAAACCAGAACCCCAGCAAAATTCAGAATTTCATCAAGAGTGTGCCAGGGCCCATATTTTTCTGATTGTTGACTTAAACATTCAGCATTCCTGTGCTCACGTCTAAGCAGAAAGGAAGGAGAGAATACAACAGGAGGTCCCCATCCTGAAGTGGGCACCACAGTCTCTAGTTGGAAGGGCCAGTGCATTAGGGGGGCCATAAACCATGTTCATTTGAGAGTTTAGTAAAAAAGGCCAAACCTCAGCTACATCCCACTGCTTATTAGCTGGGCGATCTTAGACAAAATAACTAAACTGTTCTGTGCCTTGGATGCCTTTTCTATAAAATGGCTATGATTACAGGACCTCCCTCAAAGGGTTATTATGATAATTAGATACGTTACCTGGATCAAGAGCATAAAACAGTACTTGGAATGCAGTAAAGCTTGTCATGACTGTTAGCAATTATTATAATTTATTACTCTTATACAATGTTTCAATAGACAATTGTTTGTATATTGAATGTATGAATTCAAAGTATATACAATAATTCAGCGTTACCATTCACACAGGAGGACTGGATGGGTCCGCTCTGTAGACTAGGTAACATACACTCATATTTAGCACCATCACTGGCCTGCCCACAAGGGTGGAAGGCATTTTCCTCCACAGATTTTCATTCCTACTTTGAAGTGTTGTGTATACAAACAGCTCTTCACTGACTTTGTCCCTTTTCCCCTTGTAGGTTGGATGGGTAATGCTCGTTACTATGGGATCATCTCCTATTGAATCCGTAGTTGCTGCTGGCAATATATTTGTTGGACAGGTAAGTTGTAATCTCAAAAAAACAAAACACCTGTTGAAATGGATACGCTTCCTAGAAAGTAGAATAAGAAATATAATGGTATTATTGTTTTTTAGTGTTAGGGGTAGGGTGTCAAAATAAGGAACCCCCAGCATTGACAATGTCCAGATTCCAGAGAGAGAGAAAAAGAGTGTCTGAGAGAGATCCCTTCCGAGTGTCCCAGCACACTAGTGTCAAATTTGGGTTCTTGAAAGTTTACGGAGAGGAGGAAAGATGGAATCATTCTATCAAAGCACTGGGCTTCTCCTGTATCGATTCTTAACCAGTCTTTTCTGAGTTGACTGAATTGTTGAGGTCTCTGACCCGCCCTCCAGAGGCTAGCAGGTTACCCACTCAAATGGAGTTCACTTATCTTGAAGCTGCAAAGATGTGACAGGCAGCCTCACCTTCCGTGGTATAAGGCTTGTGGTAATGAAAGAGGCCAAGAAAGACTTTCCACCAATGCCCCTGCAGCTGTATAAATACTTAAGCTTATTCTCAACTTGTCTGAACTGACCAACGGTCCGTCTTAGCTGGGCCTGAAGAAAAATGCTGATGAGCAAAAGCATTTTCATCTTTCTGATCCATCACGCGGTTAAGTGCTTTGCCTGAAGCCTATTTAAGCAAGGAAATATGATGCCAAGTGGTGTCCTTCAAAACAACAGTGTTCCTAAGGGGTGGATAAGGAAGAAATGGTAATTATCCTCATCACTCAGAATAGGTAGCTTCAGGCAAAATGGAATCACACACCCAGGAAACAACGCGTGAATGCTTGCCAGCACCACTACCCAAGGAAATTGGATTTGAAACAAAATTCAAGTCACCCAGAGAAACACATGGCTCCAAATCCAAGGCTTACGATGGCTACGGGCAGGCTGAGCCTTATTGGTAAGCCCAGCTTGCAAGCCTGGAGTATAGCCTTTAGGGCGGGGCCCACACTTCCTTCCCTAGGAGTTGAAATTATTATAATTATAGTCATAAAATCTCTCAGGACTAATTAGAACACCATCTCGACGTGATTACTCCTACCTGCGGGGTAAGAGGGCTTATGTACTGAGTTTCTATTTAGTCCATGAAGTGAAGCTCAACACATTCAATCTTATAGAACAATTACAAATAATGAGGGGAAAATTGTAAAATTGCACACATGCTTCTGTGGTGCTCAATTTGATACTTAATATGCTAAAAGTACAGCTATTATTTATGGAGAGCCCCACGTTGCAAGCCGCCTGTCCTCCTTAATGGGATTCAAGCCCTCACAATGACACTCTAATTCCTTTCCACCCAAGGGGAAGAGTGGGGTGTCTGATTCCCAATTAGGAAAGTGCCTGTGGGCACCTGTCCTTGTTATTGCTAGTATTTTTTTATACTTGCATCTCTATGTCCTTGTGGTGTAAGCAAAGAGGTATATGGTCTGTCAAGAAGAAGCTGGAAGATGGGAAATCACCAGTTCACAAGGCCAGGGCAGTTACTTGGGCAATAGTGTTCCAACCTTAGAAAAGAGTACCTGGCCATCAGACTCCAATCCTAGGCTGGTGGGGACCTTATATGAACTGGCCTTGCAAATTTTGCAGACTTTACACATGACTCTGTATACACACTGACGTAGGGTTCCATGACCCAGACATCGATGGTGTGTGTTCTCAAATGAATATGCATCAGAACCACATGGAAGGCTTGTGCAAACACGATTGTGGGTCCCATTCCCAGAGTTTCTGAATCAGTAAGTCTGAGAATTTGCACGTCTACCAAGTTCCCAGGTGATGCTGATGGAGCTGTCTGTGGTTCACACTTAGAAATACTGCTTTAAGTCCAACTCTTGGTTTTGACTCAGCTTGTGATCTCAGGGTGGTGGGATTGAGCCCCGCATCAGGCTCTATGCTTGTTGTGGAGTCGGCCTGAGATTCTCTCTCCCTCTCCCTCTGCCTCTCTTGCTTATGTGTGTGCACTCTCTCTCTGTCTCTCTCTCTGGAATAAATAAATATATCTTTAAAAAGAAAGAAAGAAAAACTGCTTTAGAAAATGGAATCTTGGGGCACCTGGGTGGCTCAGTCAGTTGGGCATCCAACTCTTGGTCTCAGCTCAGATCTTTTTTTTTTTTTTTTTAAGATTTTGTTTATTTATTTGACAGAGAGACACAGCGAGAGAGGGAACACAAGCAGGGGGAGTGGGAGAGGGAGAAGCAGGCTTCCCATGGAGCAGGGAGCCCGATGCGGGGCTCGATCCCAGG